GACGGCGCAAGATTTCATCACACTAGTCAGCACAGAGCGTCATTTAAAACTTAGGAATTATTTTTGGAATTTTCCATTTAATATTTTCAGACCGTGGGTAACTGAATTTGCGGAAAGTAGAGGAGGGGTAATACTGTACCTGTCTCTCAGCACTCAGCGTGGTGGAGTGGCAGTGTGGGTATAGTCCGCTGCCAGCACTGCAGTCCAGCAGTCTCGGGGGCAGCACATGAAGGGTTTGAGCTGCAGCTGACCCTGTGTGCTCTCCGTGGAGCACACATGCACGAGGAAGACTGGCAGACACGCCAGGGAATGCAGATCTGGGTCTTGGCAGGAACAAAGTGAGCCCACAGCTTCAAGGAGAACGACAGTGTTAGCAATATTAAAATAAAAACAGGGCTGGTCACGGTGGCTCACGCTTGTCATCCCAGCACTTTGGGAGGCCAAGGTGGGCGGATCACCAGAGGTTGGGAGTTCCAGACCAGCCTGACCAACTTGGAAAAAACCTTGTCTCTACTAACAATACCAAACAAAAGTTAGTCAGGCGTGTGGCGAGTACCTGTGACGCCAGCTGCTCGGGAGGCTGAGGCCGGAGAATCGCTTGGACCGAGAGGCGGAGGTTGCCATGAGACGAATCACACCACTGAACTCCAGCCTGGGCAACAAGAGCGAAACTCGGTCTCAAAAACTTCATTTAAAATTGGAGCTTTCCATTGAAAACTGGACTTTGGGAAAATACAGTCGCTCTGTGCTCTACAGCTTCTCAGTGGGTAAGGACTTTTTCAGGCGACCGTTGCAGGATGTCACAGAATCATGCATCTGCAAAAGACCTACTCAGTTCAGGATAGACCAGTGGACTTCCGAGGAACCGGGTTAGAAAAGTTTGGCAATGGGGTTCGATCGCAGCTTACTGTGAGGAGCCTTCCCTTGTTGAGTGCGGTGTCGGGAAGGATTTCCCAGCACATCTGAAAAGGCTCTTACGATGCCCCTCTCTTTCCAGCTGCCTCTCTGTGTGGGGCTGTAGCGTCCTCTCCAGCTTCAGCCCCGGCAGCCCATCATGGCCAGATGCAGATGGGAGCCCACGTGTCTTTCAGGGCCAGCATTCAAGAGATGGGCAAAAAGGCAAAGAATTCTACTCTTCTCACCAAATACTTTAAAAATACCTTCTTAAATATTTGTTACCAAATATTGGATTTCTTGTTATTGTGAAATAGTGAGAT